ATTTTAATTAAATTATTAATAAAGATAGAAATATGGCCTCACCTTGGCTTTGCTTAAAAAAAAAAAAAAAAAAAAAAGAATTATAAAGAGCAAAACATAATCTAGCTGTAGATATATAAGTAAGTAAAAAAAATATAATTTAGCTATAAATACATAAAAAATATAACTATGATCTGAACTAAAGTTCTAAACTAAAGCTTCTTGAACTAAAGTTTTGAACCAAAGCTAAGCTACAGAATCTCATATATAAAATTGTATTTAATAATATACTATATTAAGACAAAGCTTATTAAGAACAATTGAATAATAATTTTATATTATAATTATATAAATTAATTATTATAGCTTGTAGATTTAACTCTCTTCTATCTGATACTCAATTGAGTTAAGCTATATCAAAGCTTTTATTATATTTTTCTTATATAAAAGTCTTGTAATTTCTAAAGTAAAGTAGAAAGAAGTTATTATTTAATATTAATAAAGATATACTTTAAAACTTGAAATTTAGTAGTAGTAAGATTCTTAGTTCTTAGACTAAAACTTTTATATCTTTCTTTTGAGTTATCTTATATCTTTATATTACATTTGTTATATTTAACTATAAGAAATTTAGTAGTTACAAATCTGCTCTTTATATTTAATAAAATGATTGGTTTTTATAGCAAGTCAGTTATTTGACTATAGAAGTTTTTGTATAATCTACAAATAGTTAGTCAAAAGAAGGTATTTAGATTTAGTTAATAGTTAGAATTTGTAGATAAATAATTATAGTTATTCTTCTAATATTTGAATCTTTTAAAGATTATATATATAATACTTTTAATTAAATAGACTACTTAGAGATTTTAACTTTATAGAATATAAAACTATAATTTATTAGATATTCTAATATTTAAAACTATAATTACTACAGTTTATTAAATAACTAGAACCAAACTAAATAATTATAACTAATAACAATATATCAAATTAGTTAAACAAAAAAACTATAATTAATCTTAGTATATTAAGATTAATCAGACAATTTGCAGAGTAGATATTATATAGGCAAGATAATAGTAAATATATTATATATTAATTTAATAATAAATTAGAGTTATAGAAGTTAATTTAGTAAATATATTGTTTATTTATAGTTTATTATATTAAAAATTAATAATTATTTAATAAAAAACTCAAGTTTTATAAAGCAAAACTACAAAAAGTTATTATTTATTATAAGTGGATATACTCTTTTTATATATAATATATAATATTATATTTTATAGAACTCTTTTAATATTTAGTTATCTTTTATCTATTTAATATCTTAAATATTTAAAATATAAAAAACTTTTTAATTTTTTTACATCTTTTCTTTCTTTTATTTCTTATATCTATTAAAACTTCAATATCTCTTTTAGTATATATAAGAGTTTTAAATCTTTAATCTTTAAAAAACCTATTTAATTGGTGATTCGCGTGTCACCTGGACAAAAACAATAAACAAACTTAGTGTAATATGACGCAGATCACTATATGATTTATATAGATAGTAAAAGTAGAAATGACGAGTATTTAAAGACATTTTTATATATATCTCATGATATATTAAGCCAATTTTAATGATTTAAGTACCATTTAAACCGTCTCAGTGAGCTCTACAACTTTATTTATAAGCCTAAAGAAAGTTTACTTAGTAAAAAAATAAGTTTTCTATATAATAACTTAAAAATTTCAAAAATTTCTACTTTTACTATATATGTAAATCATATAGTAATCTGCGTCACGTTACACTATGTTGTTTTGTTCAGATGACTCACAAATCACCAATTAAAAGAAATAAGAAGAAGATAATTAAGAGTATAAATACTCATACGATTTTTAAGTTTTGTTTTGATTAAATTTTGTCTAGAAAAAATTCATTTAACAACTGTATTAGTCAAAGGAAGATTAATTAAAATAAAAATTAACTTTGTAGTTTCTGGATAAATTTCTTTAAAAGTAGGAAGATCTAAAAATATACGTTGCCATATTTCTAAAAAATTTAAATTTTTGTAGTTAGTTAAAAGATATCTAACTAATAGCCATTCATGTTTTAAATTTTCAGAGTTTAATTTTGCAGAAAATAAATTTCCTGATACATATTTATCTTGGCCATAAAAATTATTCAAAATTTCAATTTCATCTTCACTATAGTTTTGTAAATCTGTATTGTTAATTAGTAATGCTATTGGATCAAAAATATGAAATGCATCAATTTGAATTCGATTTGGAAATCTTTTTTCTAATAATGTAATTGTTGTATTTGCAAATTTAGCAATAATAGCAGGTAATTCTATTGTATTAATTTTATTATCAACTATATATTTGCGTAAATAAATTCCTCAAGTTGGGTCAAGTATATCTGTTCCAAGAAATTGCACTTGAATAGTATGAATCGTAATATCAAGCTGAGTTTTTACTTCACAGATAGTAATATTATTTTTTTGAAAAAGAAGGTTCATTCATCTTAAAATTCCAAGAATATCAGCAAAAAATTTTGTTGTTATGATAAAACTTTGATCAATACTATTATATAAAGCTTTAGCAACCTTATTTTCATCTGAATCTTTAAGCAATGCATCAATTATAGAATTTAAAATTTAATGCAAATTTTGTATAACATTAGATAATGATAACCAACGAGTTTCAATAATATTTAAAACTGTAAGTTGTGGATCACTAGTATTTTCTTCTATCATTTTAAGATGTATCATATGTTCTACACTTCATGAAAAATAACTATATATATTATGCATAGTTTTTTCATATGATTTAAACTCTTCAACTTGTTTTGCTGCATCTTTTGCTGCTAATGCTAATTTATGCAAAATACAATGATGTTCTAAAATAAATAGATTTTTATTTTTAAGCTGAGTTGATATACCATTATGAACACCTATAATTATTATAAAAATTAATTACAAATTTATATAAGTTATATATAAATAAAATTTAAAAATTTAATATTTTACCTCTCATTGTACTAGCACCATCAGTACAAATATGCATTAACTTATTATATGATATATTTTTTGCTAAAACAAATCGATCAATTTCTGCTGTAATTGTATTTGCAGTACTATCTGTTAATGAGATTAATCCAAGGAACTAGTAAAGAGGTTTAGCTGGTACAATTGCATGTTTTGAAACAATTGCTAAGGTTTTTTTATTTGAAATAGTATGGCTTTCATCTATCATTATACTCTATCCATCTGAATTACGCAATTCTTGAAAAACCTCTTGCTCTATAATGTGACCAATTGATTCAATAAATTCACGAGAAGTAACATTATTTTGATAACTACCATATAGTACTCGTTCATTATCAATAGAAAAATCATTATCAATTATATTTAATATTTCATTGCTACACTCAAATTGATCTTGATTTTTAATACGTTGTAATTCAGATAATTTGCATAAACTTTCAAATATATTGGTAGACAAATTATGCTGAATTAAAAAATATATATTACGCATATTTTTCATAATTTTAATTTGATCATTTCTAGCTTGAATAGTGAAACTAGAATATAAGGTAGCTTGAGATTGCATTCGTATAGCACAAACCATCTCATGATTACTAGTAGTTACATGACGATCCAAACTTTGTTTTTTAAAATATCTACGACCTTTAGTAAAATTATTATTTTTACCAGCTTCTTTACACCAATGACAAAACATATATTTATTTAATTAACCTTCTCCATGATAAACCCAAGGGTATATTTTAGGCCAATTCAGATTCCAATTTAATGATTCTTTTGCTAATCGTGGTACTTTAAGTTGACGAGGATTATTTTCTTCTTCTGAAGTTGTAGATGATTCATTATTAATATTATTAGCAGTAGTGCTTAATTGAGCAGCAATAGTAAATAGATTAATATTTGGATCAACAGGTTTGGTCTTACGATTTGACATACTGAATATGATTATAGTTATTACTTACAAACTTCGATATTTATATACTTAGTTACTATTACTACTTAGACTAATTTGGTAAACTAATAACATGTTCTTATAATAAACCTGTGGCTAACGAATTCTAAAACTTAAATCAATCCATCAATATAAGTATTATCAGGTTATAAAAAATTATTATTGAAGGTTCGTTGCTTAACTATAAAGTTAATATTCATTTAATATCTAAAATTGTATCAGCATTGTGATTGTAAAAACAATTTCTATAAATAACATACATATTAATATGTGCTTATAATAATACATACTTTAACGTTAATACGATAAAATGCTAATACTAACTATATTTATTCGCAAACTTTACTTCTAATAGTAAATGTATAATTTTAAAGAAATAGCTAGTAAGAAAAAGGTTAGTATACATTTAAAGAGAAACTATTTTATAACTAAATTCTATATACTCATGCACTAATAATTAAATACGTAAATGAATAATCAATCTCTTAATTAAGTCGAGCATGGAAATAAGCAGAGCGTGTGAACTGTACATAAAGTTTTAATTAATTGCCTATTTAGGTCAAGTTTAAAACAAAAAGATTGAGTCCGGTTTGAAAATCGAACTAGGCTCAAACTTGACAAAAGTCTGGTTCAGTCTGGTCCCGATAAGAGCCCTAACATGTAGTTTAGTAGCATATAACGATAAAACGAGAATACATAATTTGAACAAATTGGCACTACTCACCTACGGGCTAAAAAATTCATACCCGAACCCACCCACTATACAGAATCTTGCCATTTTGTGGTAGCTTAAAAATTTCATATCAAGCTAGCCTGCTTTGTGCAGTGTGTGAGACCACTAGCTGATGCTACGTATTGCTGATGACAGCGATACCCAGCGCAATTATAATTATAGTTGTTAGATGAAACTGTTTTACAAAAATAGCAAAAGATGAAACCTAAACCCAAAAAAAGCAAAACTAATGAAACTCTGGTGAAAGATGAAACCTCTGGTGAAAGACGAAACTCCTAGGCGAAAGGCGAAACTCTGGCAAAAGGTGAAACCCCTGGCAAAAGACGAAATCTCTGATGAAAGGTGAACTAGTGAAGATAAAACCCTAGTGAAAACGAAATGACTGGTATCTGAACTTTAATAAAAGTGAAGCTAAAGGAGATAAACAAAAAAATAATTTTATTAGCTATATATTGTTTTGAAAGATCAAATAGTTAGTTCTTTAAACTCTATCTCATCTCAGCAACTATCTAATCAA